ACATAGAAAACGAACATTTCAGTATCTTAGTGAGCAGATGCAGAATTGTGAGAGCAGGAAACAAAGGCACGAGGGACGTGGACTCCTGGGGTAACTGCTGGATCATTGGAGTGGACGCTGACCGTGCAGAGGTTGTGCCTGGTGCCCAGTTCTCCGCGGGATGCTCTCTGAGCAGCTGTGTGCTTGTCTCCCCGGGGCCCCGGCCTAACCCAGGGGGCTCAGAAGACACATTCGGCCTGGTCCTTACCCAGAGTCATGTGCAACCAGTAAAGGGCTAACAGACAGAATGAAGGAAGACGGGGCTCAGCGAGAAGCCGCCCTGCCTTTCCCAGCTCATAGCCAACCTCATTTTTGACGTACCTCCCCAGGCTGGGAATAGGAGCACAGGAAGCTATTTGTTAGATACAGAAGTTATTGCCCACGGAGTGTGGCACTGCGCTGCGTGGAGGAGCCATTGCTCTAGAGAAGGGGATTCTGGGCAGAGAGCTAATCTCCCCACCCAGGAAAGAGGGGGGACAGCGTGGCTCATAGCGGCTCCACTCAGGGACACCCCGGAGCGGCCATGGCGGCGGAAACGCAAAGCATGAGCCCGGGGTTACTTAGCGCCCTCGGCCCCGACATCCCTGCTGTTGCTCTCACTGGATCAAACCTCACGCTCCCCTGGGATCGGGCACAGTGAGGCCACAGCCCGAAAGGAGAGCAACTAAAAAGGTCACCTTCAGCCTTTGAGTTTCCAAGGGCTCCCTGCCCCCTCCCATCATAAACAGTGGGGTGCGGTGTCCGACAGGCATGCGATGGTGAAGGCCCCGCAGGTCAGAGGAAAGATAAGAATGCATCTGGGGCCAGAGAAGTAGACTGGCGGGTGCCGTGGGCTTGAAATCAGGGCAAGGGACACTCCTGGAGACCAGCTGGGGGGAGGGGAGGCTTTGGGTTGAGACGCGGAGCGGTGCCAGCGGCCCACTGTCATCCCCCCTAACCTGATGCTCCGCTTCCTTCTTTATGCCGCCCTACTCGGATTTGTTCCTACTGAGCAACCTGCAAAGCATCCTTTACTCCAGAAGAAATGGAGTGCAGGGCCACCTGCTGGAGATTATGAGCTGTGCATGCTTAGGTTTAAACATTCGCTTGCTTCTTAGCAGCTGTGTAAGGCAGCAGTCTTCACGCTGACATACCTGGGGGACAAGAAGACTTTTAAAGGAGGGCTCAGAGAGTTTTCAAGGCACCGATTTCCAGCTGCTCAAATGCCCTGCTGTCTCCTTCCTGCTTTCCTGCCCTCCTTTACAGCACACCCAGTGCCACAGACTGAATGTTTGTGTCCCACAAAATTCATATGTGGAGGCCTGATCCCCAAGGTGATGGTATTTGGAGGTGGAGCCTTTGGGAGGTAATTAGGTCCTGAGGGTGGAGCCCTCGTGAATGGGATCAGTGCCCTTAGAAAAGAGACCCCAGAGAGCTCCATTCACCATGTGAGGACACCACGAGAAGACAGCTGGCTGTTTAAGAACTCCAAAGTAGGTCCTCACAAGACATGGAGCCAGACCTCACCTGGATCTGGGACTTGCAGCCTCCAGGACGCGTGAAATAAATTTCTTTTGTCTATAAGTCATCCAGTCTGGTATTCTGTTATAATGGCCAGAGCAAACCAAGACACCCAGTGCCCAGCATCGTTATAAGTGCTGTGTGTTTATTAACTCTTCATAAGTCTCAAATGCTCCAAGTAGAGGGACAATACAAAACCCCACAGCATGTTATTAGAGAATCTTCCTTAATCAAGGACTCCTGTCGTTACATAGTCTGCCTTACTTCAAGGGGCAGGAGGTAGAAAGTTCTACCTTGTGACAATTAACATTCTATTTCCTAGTAAAAGAGCTCTATGTCAAGAGTAAACTTTGTAGCTTCTTCCCTTTAATTCAGAATTTTAGGAGAAACATTATCATTACTTTTTGTCATATGATTATTGAGTATTGTAAATGTATATTCACTTTTTACTTGAACCCAAGCCTTCTCCTTGCTCTCGAGTATCAACAATTTCTTTGCTAATTTATTTATAACCACCACCACATACCTATACAATTTGGATAAATTTAATAGGTAATGTGCTCTGGATTCTACTCGAAATCACTTTTTTTTTTTTGCTGTATTTTTCACCAAACCCTGTCGAGAGCCGGCTCAACAGACGGGGCACCTGGGTGATCAGGTCAGGAACCCACCGAACGGTCCCTGAGCAGGATTGATCAACGTGAGGAAATGAGAAAAGAAAGAGATGGCACACACACCAAAGTTCGGATTAGGAGAGTCACTAACTGTGGATGGCAGGAAGTGACAGCATTTATTGTAAGGCGGCCTGTTTATATAGAGAGCAAGTTCCTCTTTTACCAGGAATAATTTCTTAGCTAAGCATAGGGGATTCTGGTAGGGGGGCGTTTAGGGGAATGAGGAACCAATGTCCCTGAAGTGAGATAATCTCTTGGCAACAAGTTACATGATTACACAGCATAGACTAATGATGTATTTTAAGTAAGGTGAAACTGAGGCAAATAGCAACTGCCAGCAAATCCATGGTGGAAAGTTCCAAAGTTCATAAGTCCATAACTGACAGTGACATCTGAGGGTCTGGCGGTTGTAGTTCAGGAACTCCTGCCTTTCCATGGCACAGGCGATGAGCTGGGCGTTGCTGGGTTACATGTGTTTCTGGCAGTTCTCCTTTTGCTGTTCACCCAACATGCGGTTTCGCAGCCTTTTCCTCAGCACACGGAAGCTGGGGGTCTTTAGCCACCTGCCGTCCTCCACCTGCAGTCAGCCTAGAGTCTCACTACTCCGAGACGGCTCCCAACAAAACCCTGTCTCATCCCAGCAATAATCTCATTTATAGATAGACACCTGAACTAATTTTTTAAAAGCACATTAGATATGATTCAAGAATATATTTCCAATGGATTACTTTCAGTATCTAAAAAGTCTTTACCAAAATGTATATTGAGGTGGTTTTTATCAATCATGTACTAATATTAATTGTAATGATAATTTAATCCAGAAGAAAATGTTTAACACTTAGAACTTTCTAGTTATAGGAAAGTAAATATTAATTCAATTGTTTATATATATTCTGTTGCAGAGGGGTATGATAAAGTCATCAATAAAAGACTATCAAGTATAAAAATGTTACAATTTGACAAAATTCTATGAGGGATATGAATGGAAATAGAATCTCAAAGGGAAAACAAGCCACGTAAAATTTAAGTGGGGAGGTAATTTTATTTTAAAATAATTACAGGATGTTGGAAACTACATCCTTTGCAACTGTTAAACTTGTCATTTAAATGCAAACAAACAACAAAACCTTAAAAAATGTAGGAGGGGTATAAGTTTTGTCAAATTCTTTTGGGAATACACTATTGGAAATAATTGTTACCCCCAAGTATTGTTGTAAGAATTAAAAGGATAAGTAGTAGATGCTCAATAAATAGTGGGTCTTTTGGACCCTGAGAAAAAAGACGGGCTCCTGGTGGCTAACTGGGCTTAATTAAAAAAAAAAAAAGCCTAGCATCCCCTCTGTAATGGGTCCTGGCACCTGAGCCAGCCCTTATGAAGGAGTTCTGGAATCTTATTTCAACCACAGTACTGAGGCCTTTTGCATCTAATCAGAGCTTCGCAGCTATATCCCCATTAACATCTTTGCCAATTTGTATCTCAGAGCAGCTCCATCCTGACCAATCAGGACAGTGCTTTTTGGACCAATTAGACTGTGAGGATTTGGACTCTTCATTTGCATAAGGACAGACTGACCGGAACCAGGAGTGGGGCCTTCTCCCACTATACATCAGTTTCCTGCTAGATGGGGAGTGCACGTTCCCTTTCCATGGAAGACTGAAGAGTGTATTTCCCAGTCTCACTGAGCAGAGCTATCTAAGGGAGGGGGTGCTGCCCCAGGGTCCGCCAGCCCCAAGGGCCGCCTCATAGCAGTGCTGACACAGCAGTGCTGCTTCATAATTGAGCTGTAGCACAGTTGAGCTGTTTGCACTGAATATAAAGTTTCCTTCTTCACCGCACCCAAGTTGGGGATTCCTGTTGGCATTGAATTGTCGCCAAAGACCATCAGTTGACCACCTGCTTTTTGACCACCTGCTTTCGTTATTGACTCCTAGGATTATTAAATTTACATACTAAGATATTTCCCCTATTGCTAATGGTGCTGATGAAGGCTTTGCGTATGAAGCGCCAAAGCTATGTGAAATGTGTGACCAACAAAATGTGCACCACTCAGGAGCCCGCTGGGACGGGACTCTTGGCAGAGGTCGAGGGACCCTCCAAAACCTGAAGGTTCAGAGGGTGGGGGTGTGGGCTCCCCCACTTAGACCTCAGAACCTCACTGAAGTCCACAGGTCAGATCCCCACGTTGAGGCACCAGGCCAAAGGCACCACGTCAGGAGGAGCGAGAGACACAGAGGGAGGGCACGGCCTCACGGGGTTCTGAGCCCTGGACTTCGCTCCACGATCCCTGACGAGGTCGGGGATTGGTGGACGGGTGTCGGAGGGGCGACATCAGTCTTCCCGTAGAAGCTGAGGATTGGTGGAAGGGATCGGGATTGGTGGGCGGGACGGTGGCGAGGGGCGGGGCGACGGCAGCCTCCTGGACGAGGCCGGGGCTGGTGGGCGGGGCCCGCGCCGGGGGCGTGACTGGGGCACGTGATGCGGAACCGGCGCCGAGGCAGCGTGCGGTGAGTGGCCTTTCCGGACGCGGCCTGGCGGTGAGGCCCTGAGGGGTGACGGGAGCCGCGCCTGAGCGTGTGGAAGGGGGGCGGAGGCCGGGAGCGTCGGGCTCCAGGCCGCTGCCAGGTGGGAGCAATGGAGGCCGGGCGTGCGCGGCGGGCCGGGGGCGGAGGCCCCAAGGGAGTCGCGCCCGGGAGCTCGGCTCCGGAGGGGCGGCGCCCAGCACCTGGTCCGCATAGGCAGCAGTGACATGAAAAGGGGGGGTCGCGTTCAGAGGGGGCCGGCACGGGAACCCGGACTCTGCGGGGCGCCGGCCAGCCGCACCCGCCCGCGGGCGAGGCCTGCGGGAAACGGAAGCCTTTGGCGGGGGCTCAGCTTGGGGTTCCGGGGCCGGGAGTCAGGACCGGGAGGTTGCCACTTGCCGGCCTGAGGCAGGTCAGCCGTTTTCTCATCTGCAAAAGAGGAATGATCCTTGGTCCCCGGTCGTCCGGCACGCACGCCCTTAAGACCCTGGGCCTCGCCGACGGGACCACCAATTGGCCCCCTCCCCCAGCTGCTATGTAAGATGGGACCCCGGAGTCACCCTAGTGCTCAGTGTAAGGAGGTGGGACCCCGAACCTGGAGGGCCACCTTTCGTTCATCCCTTTGTTGTCCCTGATGTTTGCGGGGAGGTGTGGCAGAGACCCCGTGGGATGGCGAGTGTGCCGGAAAGCTGGACACGGGGCACGTTGGAGGCCCCGCCCCCGTTTTCGTGGTGTTCTCAGAGCGCTGAAGCCAGGATTGAGGCATTCATGTAGTACGTGCCTTGAATGAATGAGGGACTGACAGCATCATCAGTAGGTATTTGCTAGGTGGTTCCTGGTGCTACCAGTGTCGTGTCTCCTTCCCCTGTCCCCGGCCTCACTGTGTAAATGTTGTCACTCCCCAGGAGCTTTAGACCTCAGGAGGGGACGGACGATGGCACTTAGTTTGAAAGGATATTTGCTTTCTCGTTCACTCCAACACAGGCTTTTACCTTAACAAATTGGGTTCGGCAGGGCATATGGAAGTGGTCCCATTTAATGGGGGTGGGGGGTCGGGGGAGCACAGCATAAGCCAGAGCTGTGAGGAGAGGGAGAAGGTGGGCCTGGCCTGCGTTCACTGCATGCGCCGTTCAGAGACGTTGCTTTTTATCCAGGGAGTTGGCGAGCAGAGCTTCCCAATCGGGTCGGTTCACGCTCTGTTTGGTGCAGGTTGCCACTTAAGTAGTTACATCTGTGAGTGACCCTACTGGAAGGCCATCGGTTCATTTGGCTGCGAAGAATGTAATACTAATGAGAGGATACTACAGCGAGCTTGGGATTTGTGGTCTTTCACAACCAGCAACCCAAATAAAAGTGCCCCCGTGCAGCGTATTGTCGTGGATAGCTTCCCTGTTTACCTCTTTGGTGATAAGTGGATGAAATCTGACTAATGAGCACCCACGAGGTTCCTCTGCAGCAGTCGTGACTGTCTAACTGGGCTCTTGCAGACGAGAGCCTCGGCTGAAACAGCCCGAGCTGGCCAGGAGGCGTGTGCCTGTTTTATGCTTCGTTGCTAGTTTGGAGAGGAGGCAGGAGGCTCTGAGAATAAGTAGCTTGGTCTCCTGTCCTCCCTGAACTCACATTGCACAGCTCAGGTAATGTCCTCCATCTGCTGAGCAGCTGCCACGCTTCATGTCCCCGTGGATACAGTGTGTCCTCTGTTTAGAAATTACTTTGAAATCCTATACCAGGGAATAATGCGCTTTGACTGCAGTGTGTCCATGCACAGGTATCAGAACTGCCTGGGTGAGGTAGGGCCTCATGACCCTACAGCTGCGGCATGGCTGAGCTCTGGGCAACCACTGCTCAAGCTGGAGCCTTGCCACTTGATGGAGTCCGAATTGTCAGTTGAAAGGGGGGGACAGGACCAGTTTTGAAAGTCCCCGTACCAGAATCATTTTTGTTTCACATGCATTCCACATGTTAAAGGCGATCAGCTCAGTGATTTCTTGTCCCCTGTGCTTGCGGAATGTGCTGGGTCACATATAAGAGACTAGATGTTGGAAAATGCACTTGGAGGGAGGCTGCTTTATCTTAATCAGGCCTTGGTGGAGGTTTGCATGTTGCCTTGGACTTGCACAATCTGGACTCAGATTGTCAGCTTCCTCAAAGAGCCTGTATCTGCCTCTCCTTGGGCTTTTTTGCTGCCTCGTGGCTTTGCAGCTGTGCTGTTTTTTGGGATCCTTGGAGTGATTCTTTCCTCTGTGATCATACAGAGTGGAGAGTGCTCTGTGCTTTAAGAGAGTAAAATTGGAAACAGAATATTAAGTGCTGATAAATCAATGTGATGGGAAGCACCTACTGTTAATTTTCTCCGCTTTTCTGCAACTCGGGCCCTCTCTTCAGTTATCTGCCATTTTGACACACTTTGGGGTACATTTTCCTTCCGAAAAAGAATGGGAGAGCCTCTGAACTCCGTCCCAAAGCTTTCGTTTCCGCCGCTGCGGTCACTTCCTGGAGTCCTCGTGATGACTGGCTGGGAGGGTGGGGTAGGAGGCTGTGATACTGAGCCAGTGCCTTCCAGCCCGGGGCTCAGTCCGGCCCTTCCAGAGGCAGGAGTGACAGGTTGTTCTTCCTTCTAAGAATCTCCAAGGTCTGCAGTCTGGTCGAAAGATGTCGGACCTCACTGCCCTGTTTAAGTATGTCGATGAAAATCAGGATCGCTTCATTAAGGTAAGGGAATGTTTATTCTAATAAACTTAAAATTCTGTTTAATGTTATGAGGCTCAGAGAAACTAACATGAATCATACTGTGTAAACCAAGTATTGAAAATAGACAAACGCTGTATGATCTCACTTACGTGTGCAAGTTAGAAACTAAAAAAGTTGAACTCAGAGAAGCAGAGAATAGAATGGTGGTTGCCAGGGAGGTGAGAAATGTTCAAAGGGCAGGAACTTTCAGTTATAAGGAGAGAAAGTGCTGGTGATCATGGTGACTAAAGTCAACAATATTATTGCCCTGTGCACTTGAAATTTGCAGAGAGTAGATCTTAAGTGTTCTCTCAACAGCAAAAAAGGCAACTAAAAATATGTATGTATTTGTATATATACATATATATACAGTATAGAAGTTACACTTTGGGCTTTTGACAGAAAGTCTTAATATATGTTTCTAGAAATAGCAGAGGTAATCTGAGATTTTCATTTAATCTCCACCTATAATTTCTTGTAGTAATCATATATTAAAGACCTGTTTTGCGTTTAGCATGTTTTAATGATTTGGTAATGTCGCGTATTAACCTGTTTCTTGAGATTAACGTAAAGAGTCATGCTTTAAAGTTTTTCTTGGTGGACACATTTCAGATGAAGTCATTCGAGCTCTCATTCTAAAAATGATACTTTAGAGAACTTTGCCACGGGCAGGATGATAACGGAGCTAACTTGGACTGGGAAAATGTTGGTTATTTTCTGAATCCCTCAGATGTAATTTTGTTAAGATTCAGATATAAACATTTTTGGAACTTTGTACATTTTACATTCACCTCATGCTTAGTGGTTGAAAATACACATTCTGACATTTTTGTGTTATGCTCTAGTTGTTCTTTGTACAGGGTCAGTAAGAACAGTTTTTTTAAAATCTTAAGCAAAAAGCAAGTGGGATGGATCTCTTCGACATCTAGTGAGCATCTTCAAAATAGAGTGGCTGCAGGTCACAATTGAACTTGGGGTGCCTGGAACACAGCACAATTATGAATACCTTCTTCCTTAGGGAGCACCTTTTGAGAACCCCTCTTTGCTTATTGTCCACAAATAGAAACTCGCAGAATGGGTGGCCATCCAGAGCGTGTCCGCATGGCCCGAGAAGAGAGGGGAGATCAAAAGGATGATGGAGGTTGCCGCTGCGGACATCAAGCAGCTGGGCGGCTCTGTGGAGCTGGTGGACATCGGAAAACAGAAGGTATGTGCTTGGCGTCCTCTGACGGCAGAACCACAGGTGAACACATCCCACCTGAGGAGCTGATAGGACTCAAACCACTTTTTGCTTCACATAACATGCTAGTCTTTACAACAAACAAAAAAGACCTAATTAGATACTGATCTCTGTGAGATTTCTCCAGCTGGATGGGGCAGAGGTTTGGTCATACTCGGCACTTTTCTCCAGGAAGAACTGTGGAGGTTACTGAAGTTAACGTAACGGCCTTTCTTAGGAAGCAGCTGGGATTTCCCCCAGAGGTCAGGTTCCTTTCACACTAGGCAGTTCTGCTCTGTCCATGTGGGTGTGAAATGGTGACCCCCCCCCCAGCGCCCCTGCACGCTGTCCCCAGCACCCCACTTGGCAGGAACAGCACTTTTTCGTGACTTGACTCTGGGAAAAGAGCTACTTTGTGTGTGGGCTGGGGACTCCGTTATATTTAATGCAGTATTGTAACAGATGCAATTAATTGCGTTGTTTTCTTCCTAAGTTTAATAAACAACCTCACTTCATGCCAGAGTGACGCCACTCTTTTATTGGGTTGTCGGAAAAGTCATGACGAAGTATTTTTTCTATGTTTTTCGTTGCAAAAATGTGTCATGACTTTTCCGACAACCCAGTAGTTTCAGATGGGTTCAGCCCGTGTGAATTACATGTTTCATGCCATATGTTTTCTAAGTTGCATTGTTCTTGTATATTGCAGGTGATGGCGGGGTTTGGTTTATCTTGTTCTCTTGCCTGGTGATTTAAGTATTAGGTGAGGTCATAGTCCTGGGATTTTACCTGTGGCCATTCAGCCCAGTCCGCTCTTTTCATGAATGGAGGCATCCCCGGAGGCGCATGTAGGCCATGGCTCCCTGGGGACCACATCCGTTCATGGGGTGGGAAGTGAAAACCTGGGCACCCCAGTTCCCAATCCCGTATTGTTGGCTTGCACTTTCTTTCTGACTACAAATTTAATTGACTTAGGGTTACTTAAGATAGCTTACGGCTTCCCAGCACATTTCCCACCCATGAGAAAATAAACCAAGTTTCTTTGTATTATTTTAGGAGCATACTTGACTTGTTCCCCCTCCTTTTGTTCCTAATATATTTTTAAAAATTGGGGTGGCAAATAAATTTTGAGTTGTTTCATTATAGTAGGTGGTTTAGTCTATTTAGCACTCACATTACAGTGCAGTTCATAAGAAAAGGCCTTCCACCAAGTACTGAAATAATTACTACACTGTTTTGAATTACATAACACCTGTTTTTATCAAGGAATCGGCAGATTTCGTCACCATTAGAGACGTTCTAGAGAGATGCTTCCCGTGCGAGCTCACAGCACATTTGATCTCTCATCCCTTTACTTGGCAGCAGGGCTCCAGTTTTCAGGAAGCTATGATCACTAGGGCCAGGTGTGGAGGTGGATAGGATGTCATCACATTTACACACCAAAGCTGGGGTAACCAGGCTTACAGGGGAAAGAGGACATTGGGAGTTCCAGGTCCTAGTGGCAGAGCTTGGAGCACGGGTCCCTGGGGGGTGAGGCCCAGGGGGCAGGCACCGACTGGGAAAGGCTGATTTGAGGCTCTTGGGTATTGGGTCTCACTGCCAAGGCCGGTGCAGGCGAGGTCAAGTCGGGCCAGTCTGTTGCCTAGCCACTGCCCAGGTGGTAGCATGGAAAGGGTGCCTGGTCACTGCGGGCCTGACCCCCAGACAGAGGAGCTCAGGCAATGGGACAGTCATGGCTCCTGAGCCAGGAAGCGACGTACGGGAAGAAGCTGACTGTGTGTAGGACGGAGCAGGTCCCCTGGGTGTTGGTGCAGTGAGCTGAGGACTGGGCGCTGGATTCGGTTAGTGGCCATGGGAAGGAGGGGGAGGTGTAGACTCGTGTCTGAGACTACCCAGGCCGGTACTCTGGCAGAGGGTAGCCCTTATCCCTGTGAACTTGACTGCTTCTCAGCCATGCTACCCAATAGTTGGGGACACCAGAGAGTTCCAACATGCAGCATGCATTTCAGTCCAGGTTCACCTGTGGGCCCAAACGGCTTCTTAGAAAAATGTGGAAGTACTCCACAGGAGCTCTATTGAATAGAAATTTATTTAGAGGAAATCTGTTGTCGTTTGGAAATAATTTTCGTCCTGAGGCACGCTAGGGTCAGCGGCGACTATAGCACCACATGTCATTTGTGACCAGGGCAGTGAGTTTAAGGAACGGTTCTTTGCCCCTGGAGGGTACAGGCTGCCCCTGTGATGACAGTGCATAGGTACCTCCAGGGTTACCAGGTTACTTACGCTGAGTTTACGAACTGAGTTTACTGGAAAGACAAATCCTCAACCTGCAGTAATCCAGGCAGGCTGCACGTCCCCAGCTGTATGTATATCTTAGAGGTACTGAGCCCTTACAGTTTGGGGACAGTCACTTAACAGCTTGTCACCAGCCTTGTCCTGATAAGCTTGTCCATTTTAGTAGCTGCTTATTTACCTCTTAATTAGTTTGGCTTCGTGACCAGTTGTGCTGTTTATTAATGTATATTTGCATAAAGACGATGCTGTGGTTAATACACAGGATCGTGGGAGACTGATAGGCCTTTGTGGGGAAAGCTCAGAGGAGGGCCAGCTCGCTGCTCGATCCAGTGTGACTTCCTGCGACTTAGCATCGCCGTGTCCTGGTCTGGGGCCCTGGCCGTGCATTTGTAATCTACATATTGAATTTCAGAAACGTGCCTTCTGCTTGAAGATTGTAGTCGTTTTTATCCATTAACTTTGGAAACACTGAACTAAATTGCCTCCCGAACTCAGCCTTCATAGTATATTTTGTTATATAAAAGTTAAAAAAAAAAAATCAGCCTTTAAAAATGTACCGAGTTGCCTGCAGTTGGTAAACGTAGTTCAGTCTATGTGCTCTGACTTATAAGAAAGCAAATTCTTGTTAATTAATGACTCAGTTGAACAGTATGATCTTAAACTCTACAAATAGAGGGTGATTGCTCAAGGTATCATAATAAAGTCTGCTGTAAACGCCAGCTTTTCTAAACAAAGGCTGTCCTCACTGCCCCCTCTTGCCTCCTAGCTCCCTGATGGCTCGGAGATACCACTCCCACCCATTTTACTTGGCAAACTGGGCTCCGACCCCCGGAAGAAAACGGTGTGTGTGTATGGACATCTGGACGTGCAGCCGGCCGCCCTGGAGGATGGCTGGGACAGCGAGCCCTTCACCCTGGTGGAGCGAGACGGTGAGGCCGCGTCCTTGCAGCTCCTTGGGGAGCGCTGGCACTGCTTTACCCCAGCCAGTTGCTCATAGTCTCTTGGTCGTTATCTTCCCAGAACAGGTTGTCTTTACAAAATGTAGAGGTTGGGGTTCGGGAAGTTTCACACGTGTGCACCTGTCTTGGAAGCTTCAGAAAGCCTTCCTGTCCTGTCCCCATGGAAACGAGGGCTGTGTGGCCTTGGGTCAGCTACGCTTCCTTCTGCGGCTGACACTTGTCCTTAGACAACCTCTTCTGAGCTGAGGCTGTGCAGCCCTCGTCACCTGTCAGCTCGCACCTGACTCCAGTCCTAGCTGCTTCCATGGCGCGTTTTAGGAGCTCTGCTCTGTGACACTCAGGAAGCCTGGGTGTTTCCCTGCCCCCGGCCGTGGTTCGGGATGACAGATAGCCCAGTCACGGTCACCGAGTGCCTCCCGGCCAGGCCCTGTCAGGCACCTCAGTCTTTATTTAAGGACTCACCCCGGCTGACCCCTTTCTTCCTGCCCCTCTGGAGTAAAGCTTTCTCCTGCCTTCATGTCTGAATTTTCATGTTTCCACTTTTGACACAAGTCTTTGGCCAGGTAAAGAAGCCTCGCTCCCTTGGGCTAAGTCCGGACTGCCTTGAATTAAAGCCCTTCTAACGGGATGTGCTGGGTTTCTGTTCAGCCCTTTCCTGGTTCAATGTCAGATGTGTTTATCACTGTGCACAATCGAGAACCTTTTTACTTAAAGCAGCCTCTGAGGAAATTCAGTGCCATACCAGAGTCGCCATCGCCGTGCGATGACTTGCTTCACGTGACTCGTGGACTGAGTGGCCCTGCGCACTAGACGCCTCGGCAGCGTCGGGCCACGTGTCTGCTTGGCTCCCCACCCCTCCCTGGAGCACTTCCAGTTCCGCACTCTCCAGCCTGCCCCTCGTCCCCTCACTGTCTCTGCATGGCACCACCCTCTCCCCCCAGCACCTGCCCCAGAAACCCGAGGTCAGCCTGGCCCCCCACCCCCACGACATGCCCACAGCCCCCCGCAGC